ACGCATATGTGAATGATTCGTTTCGAAGTTCGTTGCACGTTCGGCAGTCGCGCGAGCTCTCGAAGCATCCTCGCGGACTATTTTGTCCGTGGCAGCTCTTCGCGACCTCGTGACATTCTACTAGAATATCCCGTCGAATTGGCACAGGTGCAGAAACGCGAGGCGAAGCGATTTAACGCGGTTACACTCTCGTTTGGCACGGCGCTTTTCCCTTCGACGAAAGGAACACGGCCGCTTCCCTTCTAAACATTCTACTATATTTCCATTTACACGATTCATTCACCGGGAATACACGTCACAGGTTATTGTGATGCGCCTCCCCCGCACGAGATCTGTTTAGAACAGATTTTCTCGTTTCGCCTTCTTCGTCCCTGCGAGGACGGCTCGACGCGGACAAAAACCGGTTTCGATTTCGTTGTCGATTACACGGCTGCATCGGGTAATTGAGAATCCATGTATTTAAATTGCTGCATTACTTGAAAATAGAAGTTTGAAATGCCTCGATATATATCGCGAGGTCACGGCGAAATTTCGCGATTAGATTTAACAACATCCTTCTTTGATGTTAAATCTCTTGATATTCTTTGATTGTATCTTGCTTGGATAATTTGATCGAGAGATTGACGTTTCGATTGAACGAACAAGTTTTACAATTACCTGCATTTTCAATAGCTGACACACAAGCTTCATAAATTTTTCCAATTTTCGTTTTTTATCTCGCCAAATCTCAACAATGAACTGTAGACACACTTCGAGCACTACTCTACTCGATATCCATTGACTAAATATTGTTAGATATCAATCAGACAGATAGAATTGAAGAGATTCATTTCAATAATTTAGAAGTCTCCAAATACATATGAACGATAATGCAATTCTTCATAAAGAATTTTTTAATTCCAACAAACAAATTTTTTCGAACGGAAGACGATCATAAACGTTTGTTACAACGTCGAACTTTCTACTGTAGAGCGTTCAAAGTTTAAAATATTGTAAGTCTGTGAAGTGGTTGGAGTAGCTAAATTGTTGTGAGAGCTTGTTTGTGTAGGTGCATTGGATGAGTGTGCTTGATGACACACCCACGTATGGGTAGAGTTTGACAGAAAGCAGAAGATGGAGGAGAAATTTTAAAAGGTACGATGAATGAGTTTCAGAGTGAACGTTCAGTAAGAAAGTATGCTATATACTTCACATAAGAGAGGAACTTTGGAAAAACTGAAGTTTGATTGGCCGATATATTGTAGAGAAATAACGTATCTACTCGTGCATCTCTTGTGATAATCTATAGTTCTCGAACACCACGCTATCGTAAAAAGTCAAACTAACAATACAAAGGTACAAATGCACTACAGTGTACAACAAACACGAATTTGAAACAAAATCTTTATTTGATTAGGCGTAGAAATAATTCGACGTCCCGTCCTCTTCTTCTTTGAGATCATTTCAATCGGAAGTTATTCGTTCTTTTAATTGAACGAGATCGTTCGAGTTCTCTGAATTTTCAATTTTCAAATTTCCACGCCGAGGTATCCTCGATCGGACGCATCTAAATGTTAAATAATTTATAAATGTCACACGCTCGCGAAAATTCAATGCAAATAAATTATTGACAGTAATTTAAGGCAAATTATAGAAGTTGCGACATGATGGAGAGTATTAAAATTTCGATGCTAAATATTCTTTCAAGTCACAATTATGCCTGGCATAAAATGTAGTCTCTCTCTTTCTATATATATATATATATATATATATAT